AATAAGATGCGGTACCATATTTCCCAAAACCGGTACTATTATAAAAAACGCGATTTCTTTAATCCTTCATGTCTACCATGACATGTGGATTGTTCACACGTGATTTGGATGAAAAAGTGGAATTAAAAACATATAGCTAGAATTTGAAGTAGTCATGTATGATGATTTCTATGAGATGAAGTGTGCCATTCAATGAAATGAAGTCTAGTAGTATTGTTTTCTCATTGGTGTATCGAGTTTACGACCAATTTGCGATTAAACTCAATCAAAAAACATTTAATATATTATATAAACTAATGTCAGAGTGATCATGGGTCGTATAAACATTATTTGTGACCGAAATTCGGTCTTCTTATGTGTTCATTACAAGTGGTACTAGGGACAGGATATCTGGTACTAACTCTTCATAATGTGGTACTGACTTATACTATGACTGGTACTACTTTTTGTAAATGTTGAGCAGAATTGAAATAATCAATTTTTCTTCAAAAAAGTAGGTACTATTCGATCGAAATCAGATACCACGCAGAATAAGATGCGGTACAATATTTCCCAAAACCGGTACTATTATAAAAAACAAGATTTCTTTAATCCTTCATGTCTACCATGACACGTGGATCGTTCACACGTGATTTGGATTAAAAAACTGAAATTGAAAACATATAGATAGAATTTGAAGTAGTCATGTGTGATGATTTCTATGAGATGAAGTGTGTCATTCAATGAAATGAAGTCTGTAGTAGTGTTTTCTCATTAGTGTATCGAGTTTATGACCAATTTGCGATTAAACTCAATCAAATTCATTTAATATCTTATATAAACTAATGTCGGAAGTGATCATGAGTCGTATAAACATCATTTGCGACCGAAATTCGGTCTTCTTATGTGCTCATTACAAGTGGTACTAGGGACAGGATATCTGGTACTAACTCTCCATAATGTGGTACTGACTTACACTATGACTGGTACTACTTTTTGTAAATGTTGACCACAATGAAATAATCAATTTTTCTTAACAAAAGCAGGTACTAATCGATCAAAAGCAGGTACCACGTAAAAGAAGATGCAGTACTATTTTCCACGGTCATTTTGCAATTAAACTTAATTAAAAGCATTACAAATCTCATAAAAACTAGTGTGAGGATGATTATTTGTCATGTAAACATCTTTTGAGACCGAAATTCGGTGTTTAATGTGTTCGTTACAAGTGGTACTGATGAGCTAATATCCAGTACTATAACAATACAGAACTGGTACTATGAATAAAATAGGTACTTCTATGAATAGAAACTGGTATACAATTTAAAAACACATCCTTAAATGGGTACTAGCTACTGGAAAATGAGTACTTTTACACCAAAAATGCGGTAGTAATATTAAGAAAACAGGTATAATTAGGAATCAAATCAAAAAATCCAAAACATCAATTCAAACTACTTAGTCCACAAACCATCATCCATAAAATTACAATCATCCATCAAACAATCAAACTAATAGCA